TTTTTTTTTTGAGACAGGGTCTTGCTCTGTCACCCAGGCTAGATAGGCTGGAGTACAGTGGCACAATCTCAACTAACTGCAACCTCTGCCTCCTGGGCTGAAGCAGTTCTCATGCCTCAGCCTCCCTAGTAGCTGGTATTACAGGCATGTTTCACTACACCAGGCTAATTTTTGTATTTTTAGTAGAGACAGGGTTTCAACGTGTTGGCTAGGCTGGTCTTGAACTCTTGACCTCAAGTGACCCACTCGCCTGATCACTTGAGGAAAGGAGTGATCCCTTTCCTCCCCTTTGGATCATGGCTGACACCCCTATAACAAAAGACAGGTATAGAAAAACATAGCAAACTTAGTTTTACTTGACATGGAAGCCTTCAGAATGAAGACCCAAAGATACAGGGAAAACTATTCATTTTTATGCTTATATTCAATGAAATGTAGATTATGAATATGATTGGACAAAAAGGGTGTGGTCCTAATGCTGTTAGAATAGACTGTGTGGGGGAGTTCACCAAGGCCTATCTGTAGCATTTCCTCCTGCCGGGTGTGGGGGTAGGATCCCTCAGGAATGAGTGTCATAATTTCTTTATGGCCAGTTGTTACATAGAAAGGTGGGGAAAAGTTAAGAGCAATGTATTTAGGTTTTATGGCTGGCTTTCAGGAAAAGGGATTCCGGCTTCTATGACCCACCTTGGAGAAAAGGGATTCTAGTTTCTATGGCTCACCTAGGGGAGAATCAGGGGCAAGAGACAGGAAGGCAGAGAAACTGCTTCTGTGGCCTTTATTTGGGGTATCATTTTTTGGGCTCCAGCATTACCTTCACAGCAATAAAAAATACCTAGGTTTTGCCAGGAATTTGGCAACTCTGAGAAGATTAAATCAAGACTACTGCCAACTTCTGTTGTTTCCTTATCATCTCAAATCATCTCAGATGAAAGTCTCTGATAGTTGATCTCAAGGAATTACATGTCGCAGTTGGGAAGCACATTTTTATTTGCTTAAGCTTCTAAAGTCGAATATAATATTTACACATATAAAAATGAACAGCCTAGTGATAGTTGGCCAACTAAGAGAGCAAAATATAGAGTGTTTTTCAAGGGATGACCGTGGCTTTCAACTTTAAAACACAAACCTGATTGAAATGTGATGGTGTGAACATGGCAATGGGCGGTACCATTCTGCAGGTTTGGGAGGGAGAAAGGTCAAAAGCAATGTTGATGCTTAAATTTCGAAAGATTTGGGTTTTGTTGTTGTTGTGTTCTTAGCATTTCCCTGTGAAATTTTTCAAATATACAGGGACATTGAAAGATGAATACTCATACTTCTTATCAATTAACATTGCCACATTAGCTGTCTCTGTAGATGTATGCTTTTTAAAAATTAACTCGTTGAGGCCAGGAACAGTGGCTCACGCCTGTAATCCCAACACTTTGGGAGGCTAAGGCAGGCAGATGGCTTGAGTCCAGGAGTTCAAGACCAGCATGGGCAACATGGTGAATCCCCATCTCCACTAAAAATGCAGAAGTTAGCCAGGCATGGTGGTGCATGCCTGTGGTCCCAGCTGCTTGGGAGACTCAGGTGGGAGGATCTCCTGAGCCTGGGAGGTTGAGGCTGCCATGAGTCTTGATCTTGTGCCACTGCACTCCAGCCTGGGCAACCCAAGTGAGACCCTGTCTCGAAAAACAAAATATTGAAAACAAGTTACAGACATAAGGCTTTTTTTCCCTAAAAATTTAAGCATGTACTCACTGTCTAAGATAAAGGATATTCTAGCTGACTAGAATATCATTATCATCCCTAAGAAAATTAACATTCATTCAATAATATCACCTATCATAGTAATATCATAAATATCAGCTTTTTTTCTCTAGTTGTCTCAAAAATATCCTTTATATCTGTATTTTAAATTCCAGATTCATCCAATCCAGGGTTTATTTATTGCATTTGCCTAAGTTGTGCTGTGTGCTTGACTGACTTGTGGTCGTGGAAACAACTCCAAAGCAGCTTTTATAGAACTGCTATCTCTACAGTTAACAAGAACATTATCCAGATAACATTCTTTTACATGCAGACTTTACAATTTTTTATTTGCTATCTAAGAATGATGAATTTTCCTGTAGTTAATCTATAAGAGCTTGTACAATTGATGAGCCGTGTGCTAGATGCTATGCTGGCCTCGAGGCTCTGACAGCTTAGGAAAGGGAGACACACGTATAAACAGCATGAGAGCAACACCGGGACAATAAAGCAAGAACAGGAGAGGCACAAGGTCTGAAGGAAAGCTTCCCAAAGAAGGTGAATCCCTGAAAGTCTATTTGGGCTGATTTCTTGAAAAAAAAGTCATTACGAGTCATCAGGGCAATTGAAGTAGAGGCATGTTTTTATGGACACAGAGCTACCTAAAGTAGCATGATGTCTCTTGGAAACTTGGAATAGTTTAATACAGGGGATTTTTTTTTTTTTTTTGAGAAAGTCTCACTCTCGTTGTGCAGGCTGGAGTGCAGTGGTGCAATTACAGCTCACTGCAGCCTCCTCCTCCTCAGCTCAAGTGATCCTCCTACCTCAGCCTCCTGAGTAGCTGAGACTACAGACTAGAGATTGAGTTTCGCCATGTTGGCCAGGCTGGTCTTGAACTCTTGGCCTCTGAAATTGCTGGGATTACAGGCATAAGCCATCCTACCTGACCAATGCAGGGAATTTTTAACATTAACAGAGATAGAGAAAAGGAAGTAGGTGGAATGTGTAGGACGCTTGTACTGTTATCTTGCAGGTACAAAGGAACCAGAAAAAGGTTTTAAGTTGAGGGAGGAGGTAATAATAGGCTACTGTCAGGGGTGTCCGATCTTTTGGCTTCCCTGGGCCACATTGGAAGAAGAATGGTCTGGGGCCACACATAAAATACACGAACAAAATCACACACACACAAAAAAACCCTCAATGTTTTAAGAAAATTTAAGAATTTGTGTTGGGCCACATTTGAAGCTATCTTGGGCTGCATGTGGCCGAGGGGCTCAGGTTGGACAAGGTTGGTCCACTCAGTGGGGAGCTGGCAACAGCAACTGGAGGCAGATGATGTGCACCTGAAGGAGCTTTGTTGGAGGCCAGAGACCAGTTGATGCCATGGTCCTGAGGTCAGTGATGAGGGCCATGACTAACCAAAGACATGGTGGAGGGGACAGAAGAAAGGTTGCGTTTGCAAGCTTTTGGGGAGAAATAAATGACAGAGCCTCATTAAATGAAGAAGACTCACTGGATGCAGCTGGGGCTGTTCCCAATGCCTCCCAAATTTCTCACCTGCAAGGCTGGGTGGGTGATGATGCCAACACAGAAACGCAGGAGAAAATGTGGAATGTGGGGATGAGGGGATAAAGAAGAAAACGATAGTTAGGCTTTGGAATTGTTCGCTGGAGAGCCCAGAGAGCCATCTAGGTGCTACACCTGGAAACAGGTTAAAGAGTGGTAAAACCAGGGGCATGAAAGAGATTGCCCAGCGAGGGCTTCTAGAGTGAAACGAAGATTGAAATGAAGACTCTAAGAGGCAGGCAGAGAAACAGGGTCCATCTATGATGGGGATTGAGGAGAGATGGACAGGGAAGGAGGAGGAGAACCT